TCCAAAATCGACCGGAATGATCAGCTGTTTAAAACCGGTGAGGCACCGAATCCACCGGGAATTTTTGTCGGTTTTTTCGGTTGAAGGTTTATTGACACTTTTTTTTTGACGTACATTAATTTAATTGCTTTGAATGGGCACTATTCGCAGTCTTTTGTTAAATTGCTGCTTGCAGATGGCAGAATAAAAAAATGTTTGTGCGTGGGCGTCATTATGAAATCGACAAACCAAATACTCAGCTCACATATTCTACAAAAATCGTACTGAAAACTACCGTTTGTTGACTGTTAAAAATAATAAAAATACATACCAACCTCACTGCATCCCACAAAAAAATCCATTCCAAAAAATAATAGGCAACACCACCAAACTTTGACACCAAAGCGTTCCAAAATGCACCAGAGAGATCTTGTAACCGGACTTGCATCTGACTTTTACCGAAATTTTTGGACAGCTACCGGTTTATTTAACCGGTCAATTTATCGGTGAAATTTGGAAAGTGCCCTGCCTTGGCTAACTTTTGACAGACGCCATTTTTGACAGTTCGTTGGAATGCCCTATAAAACCCCCCTGTCAGTGACCTGTCATACTCCATGCGTTTTGCACTCGAACGCTTAAAACCGAACGGGTCAAACTTAGCCGGACTACTTCGGAGTAACTCGGGAGCGCTCAAAGGGTGACACCCGAAAGCAGCTCATGTGCCTTAGAAATACAAAATTAGAAAATTTTTAAATTTTATTATGAAAAAACTGAAAATACGACCTATTACATGTTAGAGTTTCCGTCTTGTTGTATGGCCATTTGTCCCCTAACTGTTTCTTGTATGTTGTTGCAATTTTACACATTTCTTATACGACTTTGTAACCTGAATTGTAAGTACCTTTTTCGAAGATGTTTTAGAAAATATTTGTATGTTCTTTGTGGCCTTTTGACCTGAAGATAGGGTGTAAGCTTTTGACCCCGAAACCATGGTAGTCAAATGATTGATCATTGAAAAATATATCCTCTTTTTTGTTTGGAATGGGGTAGTATACTATGTATAAAAATCAGTAAAAAAACTGCTCGACATTATTCTATAGGCTAAATGGTGATGGTATAGTGGGGTACTAAATTATTCTCCAGCATAGTGCCTATAGAATTAGTTAGAGAAAAACAAACTGTGATTTGAATTTAGCGCCACAGCGGCGACCAATAGTATTCAAGCCGCTGACCATCTGGCAACGCTGCTCAAAATGCCTCAAAATGACAGCTGACTTCAACAGTTCAACGACGTGTGGTGTCGTGTGAATCGTGTGACTTGTGACATTGTCACAGACTTGTTTACGTTCTTTGATGTAGTCAATTTGATGTTTCGTTCTTGACGGCCAATGTCAGTGCAAATTATGTGTTCTCAAAACCGTGATGTGTTGCCAGATTGGAAAAACTTACTACGTCACGAACTTTTATTTCCACGTAGGGACGGGGCTAAGAGTAAATTGAAAAAATAAAAATCCAGGCTATTGTGGCAACTGATTACACTAAATAGTACGATACGTCGAGTATATCACTACGTAGTAGTTAAAAATCACTTGTATACTATCCCATTGCGCCTTCCGCCGTTCTATCCCGTTATGATCGCGAACGCCATATTGTTCACCTACTGATGACGTAACGCAAGAGCGACTACCACTCACCCCTTTGAAACAATAATGGTATATACAGGGTGTCCCACAATCAACGTTACAGGCCATAACTTTCTTATTTTCAAAAATAAAAATTTGAAAAAAAAAAAATTAATGGCTAATTAGGCTCTCTTCAAAAATATAAAAAAATCATCCCTTGAAAAAATCATCCCCTATTTGACTTTTTTTTTTCAAATGGCACCCCTATTATTTTTTTTTATTTTTGAGAAGCTTATGAAATTACAAATTTGTATGGTATATAAAAAGTTTGTTTTTCCATGTCTCTTGGGGGAAAAAAAATAGGTGTCCCACCCTTAGTCTTATACAGGCAATCACATTTTTGTCTACAAAAATAAAAATATGACAAAAAAAAATTAATTGTGTGCAAATTAACCCCTTTTGAAGAATATTTAAAAAATCTTCCCTACAAACTCATCCCCCAAAAACAACTCTTGCCTTTTTTTCATATAGAACCCCATCATTATTATTATTTTCATTTTTGATTTTTTTTTCCAACGAAACATGGAAAAACAAAGTTTTCATACATCATTGAATTTGCAATTTCATGAACTTCTCAAAAATAAAAAAAAAATTAGGGATGCCATTTGAAAAAAAAAAGTGAAGGGTTGTAAATAGGGGATGATTTTGTCAGGGGAAGATTTTTTTATATTTTTGAAGAGAGCTTAACTAACCATTAGTCAATTTTTTTTTTCAAATTTTTATTTCTAAAAATAAGAAAGTTATGGCCTGTAACGCTAATTGTGGGACACCCTGTATAGTGAAATTAATTAAACAGTGTATGCACATGATCAAAATTTATGACATAAGCACGTCGCAATGTTGCCGTTATTAATTTTCGTATTACGTTGACATACCATGTCTAGTAAAATTTGTTATCACAACAAAAACAAAGCAAAAAAACATCGATTTTTATTAGTATAGATAGTGTATTATGAACACAATATAAAAAACTAGTCACTTTTTTTATACATGTCGTAAATTTGATTGCGAATAGGGCTTACATCAAGGTGATCTTGATTCGTAACCCGCTTCTTATGTGGACGTTTTTTCTTTGGTGAATCTAACGCTAAATTATCCGTAACTTTTTGAGAGATTTTACTCACAGTGTTTATACCAATATTCAGTGCAGCTGCAACACGCTGGAATATATTCCCAATCAAAGCCCCAGAAGATTTATATTTGATAGTATCAATATACTTCACCTCTCTACCGCTATTTAATGGCAGAAAAAGGCCCCCGTTATCTCGTTTCTGTTCAAAGTAACTAATTATAGAGCCGCAACGAGTTTCTGACTCTGACTATTCAATGGCTTTGGCATTTTATAGATACACAGATAGAAATAATTTCAAATTATTAAAATCAGTAACCGCAGATTGGCAGAAATATTTGGAAACATAACCCACGAGTGCCAACCTAAATGCCATTTTATGGGCCGATTCGGTTAAATGGCAAGAGTATTCTGTCTTTTTTTAACTAAGGTTAAATAAAAAGGAAAACGAGCTCTCATCTTGAAACGAATTTTAATTTCTTACAAACTGCAATTGGCAATAATTTCGACGTCATTGATGACGTGCATACACTATTTAAATAATTTCACTATACATACCTTCCAGCCTTCCATTTCCGAGGCAGCCAAGCCAAAACGACAGGGACGAGCCGAGAGACAGACACAGACACACACAACGGCCGCAACGTAGAGGCGAAACGCAAAAAAAGGACATTCTCTTTATTTTCCATAGTAATCTTTCGACTTTTCTTATAAAAAACGTTTTTTTTTTATTTTCTTTACATGCCAGTTATTTAATACTAACCTAATTATTAATTTAAAAAGTGTTGCGAATTATTTAACCCAAGGGAAAACGAGTTTTAGTGCAAGAAGGCGAACAGCTCCTATCGACAATACAGTCCACTATTATCCAGCGTCGAAATCCAACATTGGTAATCACTTCAATGTTTTAATCATACTTTTTTTGGCATTTTTTATTTTATTTTTTATTATGTAAAACCATACCTTTTTGGTATGCTTATAACTCAGGATGGAGGGAATCTCAATTCAGTATTTATATTATTTTATCCCATTTTGACGTTTAAAAATGACATTATTGAACGCATAACAATAAAGGTAAGTAGACGTTTATCACCTCAGTGATTTAAAAACATTTTAACTCACTCTCGGCATTTTAGGTCACTCTGCCCAACTAAAAATCTGAAACCTCAGTGATTTAAAATATTTTTAACTCACTCTCGGCATTTTTCCTTGTACTTTTTTTTTCAAATTTCCATAAAATGGGATAAAATTTTGTATACATCACGTGAGTTAAAATGTTTATTCATGAGAAGAAGTTTAACCCACGAGCCCTAGCGAGGGGGTTAATTTTCTTCGGTGTATAAATAACTATTATTCTATTCAGCTTATATTTTTATATTATAAAAGAAACAATTTTTTTTTTTTAGTTTTAAGTCGGTTCTATTGTAGTAGTCAAAGAATGTTTTTCTCGTGTACACCCCTCGTCGTAAGTAGTGTTATAAGCTTATTTAGTCCATGTGGATATTTTATAGCAGTAAGTAACTATTTTTGTACCAATAGAGAGATATCGGTGAGCCAGATAGCGCGTATGGACGGTATTAACGTCAGGACTTATTTTTTTTACGTAAAGCGGTATCATACTTTTAAATAACAGTTATCGGAAAACAGTTTTACGTAAAATTTGCCTATTCGTATCCGTTATTTCATAATCTTAACCCAACTTGTACTTTGTTCTGTTTTGTCAATTTTGATTCTGTTGTTTATGGTCAGGGTCACAGGATTTGAATTTTCAATGTTTTTTGAACATAAGTTTAACATAACATAACCTATAATAATAATATTCAACCAGCCCGTTGTCAAAAACCTGCGCATGCCTATTTAAGCATTTTTTAGGCGTTATTCAAAATAGCGCTTAACGTAAATGTTGGGCAAATTACGTTATGCGGTAACGTTATTTCAGTACGTAGTGTTAAAAATCGAATCGCGCATACGTTTAATAGACAGTTGAAGTGCACCCGTTTACGTAAACGAAAACGCAAAGATTGACAGCTACGCGTGCGCACATCGATTTTCGTTGCGTTTGTGTTAACGTCGATACGTGACCTCGCGTGCCTTTACGTTTGACCGTTATCGCTTATACGCTTCCCCGAAGCTCCCCGAATCAGCATGCGATACTGTCCGATGGTGTTCTGTCCTCTTGTCATAGTGGTTTTGTTTGTTTACCCACAGTTTGGACTGTTTGGAGCCTTGGAGGTTTGGATCAGTGTTGATTTTCTATAATTTCTAAGAAAATGGACGGAAACAGCCTATTTAAAGCACGTTTTCGTTTTACGGAAGAGGATGATGTTCATCTTCTAAGGGAGGTGTTGGGGCTAAATCCATACGAAGATCATAGCCGATGGACAATAATTCAAGTAAATATGATCCAAATTATAGGAAATTCTTTGAGTATCCGCACATTGAGAGAAAGAGTACAAAATTTAATTAAAAAGTTCCTAGTGAAGAAAAAAGCAGAGGAAGGAATGCAAGTAAACTTAAAACAAACTGACCATTCCAGTTAGTACATACAGCTTACTGATAATTTTCTGTGGCTGTGGAAGCATAGCATAACATTTATGAATAAGCGAAAATTCAAATATTTTTTATGTTAAGTACCTACTTAAGATTTCAACCTAAAAAACTTGAAATTTGAGAAGAAAATTATCAGTTGCCCATTGTAGTGATGTAATACTGAAATGTTCAACAAAATAAAAAGGATTCTACAAGAGAACATTAAGTTTTTGTTTATATCATGTAATTACTCTCTCTTTTAGATCAGGAATAGAAGTTGAAATAACTGAAATTGATGATCTTCTACAACAAATATATGAACTCATAAAGGAATTTCAAAACAAAAAAGGAAAGAATATTTTAAGTAATAATTTAAAAGAAAATCCTCAAAAAAGCAAAATCAAAACTTCATACCAGAAAGGTTATGAAATGAGGGAAGAGGCTGCATGTTCACTTTTTTTTTTTTTACGGATATGCGCACTCGCAAGGAAATGTCCTATCACGCTCGAGAAGCGGCAAGTGCGCGGAAATGTCGGTGTATGTTGGTCTTGAAACGGTTCAGGTTGTAACCTGCAGGAAAAACCGTCGCAGGGAGTTTATTCCACAGCGATGCTGTTCTCCAGAGATATGAATTCTGATATAATGAGGTTCTTGGTGCCTCTAGTTTGACAGTAAATTCTTGGCTACCGTCTGTTTGACGGGTTCGCCTGGTAGGCGCTACTCTCGGTGGAATCATACGTGCCAACTCTTCAGAGCATTTTCCGTGATAGTACCTGTAGAAGAGAGATAAATCGCCCACAGATCTACGATGTTCAAGACCATCCAAGTTACGAGTAAGTGCGGGGTCATTGATCAGCTTGATAGCTCGTTTTTGCACGGTGTTCAAAAGCATTAAGGTATGTTTGGGTGCTGCACTCCATATATGTGAGCAGTACTCCATAGTTGGTCGAATCTGGGCTTTGTAGAGTGGCAGCAATTGGCTTGGTGTGTACAAATGTCTTGTACGAAATAGCACCCCCAGCTTTTGGGACGCCCTTTTAGCAATATCTGCCACGTGACTGTGCTAAGACATGTTGGTCTTTTTTGAAAACAGAGCTGCTTGGGTTTTCTGCGCGTTGAACTGTACAAGGTTTTTGTTACCCCAGTCCTCTATTATCTCCAGGTCGTTATTTATCTGCGATATTTGAGTTAGTCTAAGATGAAGGAATTCGCGTGCGGAAAGACCTGTGGGTGGTATGAGTGAGGAGACTACATTGCCATCGTCTGCAAAGCAATAAAGTGGATTTACTGTTTTATCTATGAGGTCATTTATGTAAATCAGAAAAAGAGTTGGCGAAAGGATTGCTCCCTGTGGCACACCAGCATTTATTTGGTAAGAGTTGGAGTTCTGGCCATCCAGTGCAACATAAATGGATCTGTCCTTTAGGTAACTTTCAAACCAAGTGCAAAGTTTCGGCGATAATCCCATTGCTTTGAGCTTATTGAGCAGATTTTCATGCCAAACTTTGTCGAATGCTTTAGATATATCTAAGGCAATTGTTCTTGTTTCACCCCGCAACTCAATCGCTTTTTGCCATAAGTGAGTGACGTATGTAAGTAAATCGCCAGTTGACCTATATTTTCGAAATCCGTATTGCTTATCGTTGATAATTTTGTACTTTTCCAAGTACTTGGTTAGGTGATTGTTCACAACTCTTACCATTACTTTTGATATCACCGGAAGTAGAGCAATTGGTCTATAGTTTAACGGATCTGTCTTTTTTCCTTTCTTTGGAATGGGTTGTACTGCGGCAGACTTCCATGATGATGGATATACTCCTTGCCTGTAAGACAAATTGAATAATTTTGCGAAAGTTGGGGTGAGTTCGTTGGCGCAATTTTTGAGTACTATTGCGGGAATGCCATCCGGACCCATTGCTTTGTTTGTATCCAGCTTTTTTAGGGATTTTCGTATTTCTCTGTGACAAAAGGGTACCTCTGGCATACTATGGGAAACCCTTTCAATGAACGGTGGAGTTTTTCCGTTTGGCACTGTTAGGTTGGAGTTGGAGGAAAACATTTGGGCCAGCATATTGGCTTTTTCCTCTGATGTTGTGGTTAAGTGATTATTTTTATCTGTAAGTGGTGGTATGGATGACTTGGTGAAGTTAGATCCAACAGCTTTTGCAAGAGACCAAAAGGGCCTAGAACTACTTGGACAATTCAGCAACCTGTTTTTTATTCTTTGATTGTATGTTTCTTTAGCGGAGTCAATAGTAATTTTGCAACTATTTCTGGCTTCTATAAATTCTGTGTGGTTTTGAGCGGTTTGTTGTCGTTTCCAAAGGTTATATGCTCTGTGTTTTTTCTGTACAGCCGTTTGACACTGGCTATTGAACCAAGGTTTTGCATTAGCTCTACGTTTAGTTGTATGTGGGATATATGCATCCATTCCAGATAAGATTACTTGTGTTATTTCATTACAGCAAATAGTGGGATCAGCTGTTTTAAAGCAAACCTCTTGCCATGGAAAATCCAGGTAAAACTGTTTTAGGTCATTCCATTTTGCCGATTTATAATGCCACATTTTACGAGGAAGTGGTTGTTGACTTGGTGGGACGAGCATTTCGCACTTTGTTATTATAAGTTTATGATCGGACGAACCAAGTGGAGCATCTACTTGAATTGTGTACGAGTCAGGATTTGTGGTTAGGAACAAGTCTAAAAGCGCTGCAAATTCGCCCCTTTCTGAGATACGGGTAGGTTCATCGACAAGCTGCGTTAGACCACAACTTATGGCAAAAGCTTCTGCTTCTCTGCCTTCGTTATCTGTTTTGTTGTGGTGTTTCAGGCAGGGTATATTGTGGACGTTGAAATCGCCTAAAAAGACAATTTCCGCCTGTGGATAGTTTGACTGTATACTATCACAGCTTTCGGATAATGTCGCAAAAAAGTTTTGGTACTCGGTGTTAGATGGCGGTCGGTAGAGGCAGCAGATAAACTTGGTCGATGACTTTGAGGTGAATTTTAGCCATATGATATCAAGGTTCGCTGGTTCTAGCTTCTCCTCTCGATGACATGAAAGGTCATTTTTAATGTACACACAGATCCCAAAATTATGTCGAAATCGGTGGTGTAGGTCATAGCCGGGATAAAGATAGTTCACAATAGGTGTTGCAGAACTGATTTTAGTTTCAGTGAGAACAAGGATGTCAGGTCTTTGTTCTTCAAGATGTTGGTGAACTGAATTCATATTTCTACTTATTCCTCTTATATTGCTAAAATCAATTCTGAGTTGAGTTTTTGGTCTTCTCTTTATATCTTGGACTTGATTCTCCAAACTATCAAGGTAATTGTTGTATACTTACCTGAATATAAATTTGTTTAGGACAAAAAAAGTAAAAATAGTTTTTAATCACTTTATTCCACACTTTAATCAAATCTTTTGGGTTTTGTTCCATAGAAACTGAAATATCCCTGGAAATACCTGAAGTGGAAATAACTCATGGTATACTTGATCAAGCTGTACTTGAAGAAAATGTTGATTTGCCTATGCCAAAAAATGTTGAAAATATTCCTTCTAATCAAACTCGACCCACTTCTGCTAAAAGACCATTAGCCCAGCTAAATATTGCAAGTGAGTAAACCTATTTACAATATTTTCTCAGTGTGAAAATATAAAGCACTTTATTATTCCTAATATGATTCATTTTAGCACCTACACGAAAAAGAGCTTCTACAGGAAATGTAAAAACTAATACTGTTCAATATCTTACAAAAAAAAACGATTTGCAAAATCAGTTGAAATGCAGGGAATTATCTCTAGAAGAGAGAAAACTAGAGCTGGAGGAATATGAAAGGAAAAAGAAATTGGAGCTAGAAGAAAGGAGAGTAATTCTGGAAGAAAGAAGGCTAAAATGCCATACTGAAATAAGAGTTTAATTGAAGAGCTTCTCTCAAAATCACATTCTTGAAACAAACAAAAAATATTGAATGTTTCATTAGTTTTTGTTTTTTTTTTATTTGTAAGTTATATTAGAGCCTAGTTTTTTGAGTTTTTTTTTCATCTATTTATGTTTCATTAGTTTCTAGAGTTTTCATTTAGTGCAATTTTTTTTAGAGTTCCTACATTTTCCTTTTCTTTTTGTTTATTTAGTACTTAAATATCTTTAAGTTTTTCTTGTGAATATTATTCTGTTACTAGTCCATTTTTTGTCTGATTTATGCCCGATTGCACCGTCTCTCTTAACTGAGGCTTAACGATAACTATCCCTTAAATTGACAGTTTTGCATGGGAAAATGTCACTTTAAGGAATAGTTATCTTTAAGCCTCGTTTAAGAAAGACGGTGCAAACGGGCATAATTCTATTAGAATAAAGTAGCGTAAATAAAGATTTTGATTTTTTTTTTATTTGATTTAAAGAAGTATTGTTTTGTTTTTTTTTATTAATCTAGGTTATGCATTATTTATTATTATATATTTTGTGACTGAAAAATATTTGTGATATGTTTGACAAATAAACAACATTTCAATGGAAAAACATATATAAATTTTATTAACAATTACCTACATACTAATTTTGTAAATACATTTCCAAAGGTGGAGGCTGAATATTGAAATAAACTGATTGCTGACTCCCATACAGGCATGTGTGACAATTTGATAGAAGTGCTGCTACATGATACATCGATCCTACCTCTTGCAATAACAGTTTCTGATTTTTTTTAAAATCCAAAAAAGCAAACTCCCTAATGATTTTTCCAAAACCCCACTCAACTGATACTCTTAAATTGCTCATTATGGTATTAAAATGTTGCCTTTCTGGATTTCTAGCAATTTGTTTGGGACTGAAGGGCCTTATTAGGAGTTCCCTCAAGCCATAGCCCTGGTCTCCATATATCACATAATTTCTGTCTTCATGCACAGCATACTCCTCTAACTCTGCATAAATACCAGATTCCCTGAATATGCCAGCATCATGTCGATGCCCAGGATAGGCACCTTTAAGGCTAACAATTAGGCCATCTGGACATAATAAAGATTGGTATTTCACACAATGTACTTTTTTATAGCCTGAATAATACAACTGTTGGTTTCTTTTTGGTCTACATATCGGTCTTATTGTGCCATCAATAAAGGCCCATACGTTGTTCATTGGGCAACCCTTTGCAGCAACAGCCTGAAAAGGATTTTATATTGTCATCAAGCAGGATCCTAATGAAACGAAAAATAGAAAGGCAGATATACATAATTCATTTATTCATTTTGATATATGATATCTATGTAAGTTGGTACTCACATTTGCATATTGCCTTAATTTCTCTTCATTTAGCCAGATATTTGCTCCTAAATTTTGCAACAAATGACCTTTATTCTCAATTATTATGGTCATTACTTTATTAGCAATGCTTGATAAAGCTTTGTAAGAATATCCAAAAAATGGTTCCAAATCAACAAGTCGATTGGGATAAGCCAGTCTTTCCGATAAAATGCAGAGCCCATGTATACCTACAAGAAATTAATTATCACAGAAAAATAAACACAGTTTGGTAAAGGGTGAAAGCTAAAATTAATAATTATCAAAGTATAAATAATAAAAATATCCAGATATAATAGGTTCGTTCCAACCCCCCGTTTTCGTATCGTCATGAAACGGTTTCGGAACTGTTAGGATCGATTGCAGGCGCATGCGTTGACCTTGCACGGTTTTATATGGTACAGAAACAACAGGTAGTTGGAACGGTTTCATGATCGTTTTCGTAATGACGACAGTTCAAATAACTTTAACCCTAAATTTGTTTGTTTTTAAATTAAAATAGAAGAATATAGGATTAGGTTTACAAATTAATATATAAAAAAGGAAAATCGAACACCAACGCTGATTCATTATGAAGAATCTGAAACTGAATCCTTGCAAGCTGATAATATCAAGGATTAGCAAATAGCTGATAATAAATTTTGTACTTTTTTTCACTTGAAAAAATGAAAATGCTACAGTTTTATAAGTTAGATTGGAAATTGGTTGTTTAACAACAACATGAACAATAACAACAGGTGACAAAAATTGAATTACGCATGTCAGTCATGGATCAGTCCACGCGGTTCTTGCTTTCCACTCGGGATCGAAATGACGGTGCTAAAACCAGTTCTCGAACGATCCCAGGTTTGGTTGGAACGCCAACGAAACTGTACGGTAAACGATCATCTCTCGGTTGGAACGCGTTTAACCTATGGCGCATGACCATGACCGTACATTGAACGGTTTTTGGCTGGGTTGGAACGAACCTAATATAACGATTTTCCAAAATAATGGTTGCTGGTTGCTTTCGGTAGGTACCTACCTGGAAGAGTTATTTTCTCATCTGTTGTCACTGCATCTGGAATTCCTAATTCTCTAGCAAGGCGAGGAATACCTATTTTCTCAAATCGAAAATATGTTTTTGATTCATTCTCTGATAATTCGTCAAAATTGAATCGCCCATAAATATTAGCCCGATTTCCCACTAAATTTTCATTAAATACATGTATCAATAATACATCTTCTATGTCCTCATCTTCAACATCAGATTCACCAATTACAGCTGCATTTAAAATTTCTTCCATTTTACGTGTACTACACTCAATCCTCAAACATTTCAACAAAACAAATCAAATTATTTTTGTTGTTGTTATTGGAAAAAATTGAGGTTAGGTCAGCCGTTAACGCTCTACGTGAAATGTCACACTTCAACTAGCTTTTGGATGCATTGCGTAAACGTGAAGTTTAAGGGTTAACGCCCGTGTTAGTGTTTACGTTTGGGCTCAACTTCAACTGTCTAATGTCAAAATAACGTGGGCGCTAATACTTCATGATGCTATTTGGGTTACCGATATCTCTCTATTATAAAAGTTCCAAATGGGTTTCTCCTAAAACCTTTACAGCTCATTTTTGTAGGGTGAGAAAGGAAAAGGCCAGCAGAAGGAACAGTCAGTAACCTCCTAGCTCAGCTACGAGCAAGTTGTGCCTTTTAATATTTTTAACTTAAAAATAAAGAATTAATAATTGAAGGAAAATCTCGAAATGTTTTTTTTCGGTAACGTGGTTGTTAAAACCACAACAATAGCAAAGTTTGACAATAGTACCTATTTAGTCTCTAGATATATTGATTACGTATCCCTCATTTATCAACTTTTGACGAGCTGTAGGCTTTTCGGAAAATTATTGTTTGTTTAAACTGTTTTCTTATTTCAATAGGAATTTAGTTTTGAAAATGTTCTGTCTGCAAAGCATTTTTCTGTTTCGCCAAATATTTTGCAACTTTATAAGTTAAATTAAAATCTAACCCCATAATTGTTTATTTCCATACAATTTCCAAGTATTCCAATATAAGAAAATTACCATTTCAATAAAAATAAGACTTTAATTACTTTAGTTTTACAATCAACAGTTCCATGTCTTCTTCATCTGCATCATCGTGACGATCGCCCATGTTCGGCAGTTTGCTGGAAAGGTGGTTTGCGAAATTGTAAGTCCATATTCGGGGCGCGATGAAACCTCCATAACCGGAACGACCCTTGTGATAGATTCCAGCGCTGCTTAGAGGCACTGCTGGTTTATTCGCCACTTCCTGGATATCGATAAACGGTACGGTGCTCTGTGCGGCATCTTTTTCGAAAGACGAATGGGTAAATTCGACATAGGAATACATTTGTTGGTGATACCATTTTCCAATTTCTCTATAGGAATTCGTTGGTATGTCGAGATTATCGATGTTTATTTTGGATCTGAAAAATAACGTGTGAAGATTGACAATAGGCTCGTCCAGTGAAATTTCATTAACACGGTTTTTCACATTTTTATGGAGTATTACTCACATATGGCACATAAAAAAATCAGGTTATTTGGATAAATATTAAAAAAGTTACGCGTTTTTTAATATTAAAACAGTTATGCCTCGGATATTCATTGTTGTGACGTCATAGCATCTCTCGAGTCGAGGCAAGCTAAAGGCCGTCACACACGGTTTTGCGTAACGCAATGTCAACTGATTTTCTACTGAAAGTTTGGCACACAGTTTGCGGAACTAAAGTCTGTCTTTCTTTCAAAGAGAAAAGTCAAAATGACATTATGTTGGCAATACAATGTAAAATTGTCAATGCTTTCAATTTTTTTATGTAGAAAAGGCTTGTGTTGCCAACATAGTTACTAAATTTTTGACTTGGGGAATGATTTAAAAAAAAAAAAAACCATCTACAGTGGTGTTATGAACTAGGTTATGAATTCATAACAGAACTTTTTTTGGTGATTTGACAAATGGCAAAGTTAAACCTGTAAAGGTAAAATGAAGGTAGATAACGAATAATACACGAAAATTATTGAAAAAACATTCTTATTTTTCGCTTTGTACTACTTTGTAGATAAAACTTCATACATTACACGTGCGTTTAAACATGACTACAAAACTCGTGTGATTAGAACGACTCGATCTATGACCTCGTCGTTCTAATCTTTCACACTCGTTATTGTAATCATGTTCATAAATGCACTTGTAATGTAAATAACTATTATACAATATTTTTAATTTTTCTTTTTGCATGCTACTTCCATAATTGTGTTCATAAAATATTGAAACTCATGGCCGTTTGCACCGACCATTTTAAGGAAGCCTTAGCGATAAGTACTCCTTAAAGTGACATTTCTCTATGTAAAAATGTCACTTTGAGGAATACTTATCGCTAAGGCTTCATTAAAATGGTCGGTGCAAACGGCCAATAAAATACCAAACCGAAACTTGTCTGAACCATAGATGTCTGAACGATGCCAAAGCAAAACTTGTCAAAACAATGCCTGTATCTCGGCCTGTATTGTCGAAGTGACTGGCATACCAGCACCACCAGCAGCACGACAATCAACGTGAGAGATGCAGTGACGTCACCGCGTGTTTCAAATTTGGAGGAATATATTTTGATAATAGGCTCGTTCAGTGAAATTTCATTAACACGATTTTTCACATTTTCATGGAGTATTACTCTCATATAGCACATTAAAAAAAAAATCAGCTTCATTGGATAAATATTGAAAAAGTTACGCGTTTTTTAATATTAAAACAGTTAATGCCTCGGAAATTCATTTCTGTCACGTCATAGCATCTCTCGGGTCGAGACAGACTAAAGGCCGTCACACACGGTTTTTCATAACGCATAACGCAATTATAACTGATTTTCTACTGACAGTTTGGCACACAGTTTGCGGAACTACGCAATATTTATGGTTTTTCTTTTTGCATGCTACTTCCATAATTATTGTGCTCATAAAATATTGAAACTCGGGGAATTTTCAAATATACGAAATGTGATTCGAAAGAAAACCATCCAGTTCTACCATACGTAAAATGCCAAACTGAAACTTGTCTAAACCATGCCAAACTGAAACTTGTCAAAACAATGCCCGTATTGTCCAAGTGACTAACGTACCAACACCACGACGACCAACGTGAGAGATGCAGTGACGTCACCGCTTGTTTTAAATTTGGAGTATTTTGATAAATTATTTAAATATGAACAAGGGCTCAGAAAACTATGCTTGCATAACTGCTAAACTCAACACGCTCTTTTAGAATCTTTATATTATATATAAAAATCAAAGTTCACGGGGTATCCAGTTATGCGCTCTAAAACCACTTATCCGATTACGATGAAACTTTGGTAGGTTATTATGGCCATCCCAAGGAAGGTTTGTAGATAGGTTACGCATCTCGGAAAAAGAAATTAATTTTGAATTAATTATTAATTTAATTGTAAACAAACTCATTCACATTACATAACAACATAACCCACCTTTTTTTGACAGCATGAAATAACGTTGACATATTTCACTTATTTAGGCTTGCATTCAACCGACGTAACTTTATTATTTTTTGAATTCAAGAACGGCTGGACCGATCTTGAATTAATACCACGTATCTCTATATAAGGTGAATTCGATTGACCCAGATTAGATCGATTTGGGTTCAATTTAAGTGAACTTCTTCTGATCTAGATCATTTTTTTGTTGATGAGGGTGCACTGATCCAGCTTGAATCGAACAGTGTGGTTCATTTAAATTGAACCAGATCGATCTAATCCGGTCAATCGAATCAGCTATAGAGGAGAGTGATATAGGCTATTTTTTATCCCGAAAAAAAAAGTTCGGTTCCGTAAAACTCTGATACACTGGAACGCCTATAAACAGCCCGGGGCGCTCTAGAGTGCTTAAAATACGTCACTGGACTCACTGGCAAGCGACTCTGATATCGGATTAAAAAAAAAAAATTAAATAGAAAATCAACAACAAAATTTGAAAAGAAGTGTATTATTTCAAAATGTATTTACACGCTGGCAACGCAGCGGGTCATTAGCTAGTATGTTATAAAAAAAATATGCTGTTCAAGCGAGCCTATTGTTTTGACAGAGCCAAATGCGTTTAAGATCAGTTTGAAATTGAATTGTTGTTTTGCAACGCTTGAACCAATGAGCATATTCTTTTTTGCGCAGAAGAGTATCTATATAAAGGTTGTTCTAATAGAAAACAAATTTCTCCTGAAAACTGTTCTTGTTAGAGAGTGAGAAGCCCATCTCCTTGCCCACATTTTCTCTCCAACTCTGGTGCGTGACTACCTTGAACTTTCAATGTTCATAGAACTTTTTTTACCCTTTCATACACGGTATTTAATAGGAAGCTGAGGCAAAAATCACTGCCATCCAAGAAAGTGAACTAGAAGAGAGTGTCTCTCCGTTCTTGAATATTTTGCAGTTCTACATTTAGTTTGGAATTTTTGAGGGTGGAAGCTTTTTCTCTAATAGTTTATCAGCTTTGGGCCCACGTCTCTCGCCAATATCTTCTAGTAGTTCATTTTTAAAGAAAGCCTTGTTCACAAGTCGTTTTGAACTGGATTTTCTGAGGTATTTTTTTAATTTCTTATATGCGTCATTTTATTAATCAGTTGCCACAAACTTTCTTTGTACTTCCCAGTCCCGTAAAACTCCTGATTCTGATCAAATTAGTGGCAGGTTGCAACTTTTTTGGGGGCGTGGTATCTCGTTCTGGTTAGCTCTGAATAATTGGCAGTATAAGTGTAAAATTCACAGGTCAAGGGAGAAACCACCTCCTAACTTTTGCACCAATACTTCCTCCATTATTTGATACATATTTCCCGTACTTCTTTGGTTTTTCATAATAGAGGCTTTCACAAATTTCGTACAAATATCATAAAATGGTCGAAAATGTGATAAAAATAGTTATTTATGATATAAGTGCTAAGAGTGACATTTTATTTTGTGAAAAGGGAAGTTTGGGACACGACGCCGAAGGCGGAGTGTTCCATCCCTTTGAACAAAATAAAATCACTTTTAGCACGAATATCATACACTATTTTTTCTAGAAACGCACTAAAAGTGATTACTTTTAGCACTAGACATCCTATTCCATCAGCCAAATCATATTCGTGTGAAAATTCGGTTAAGGCACAGAAATCAACTAAAATACCAATAGTTATTTGAGCTCGACCATAGGTTCCATGTACAGGGTGTCCCATTTTGGTTGTACAGGGTGGTCCAAATTGGACACTTTCCTATGAAAACACCATATGGACCACCCACTCTGAGGCTCAAATTTCATGAAATCTTGATTGGTGCAAACCGCATTTTCATATCTTCAACCGTTTAGCCACTAGAGGGCGATTCTCGATTTTCAGCAATACTGAGAAACCTTGTTTATGAAAATAATTGATTTCCGTAAAGATTTTCAAGAAGTACTTTTTTGAGCAGAATTCAGTGAAGTTCTCAGTTTTTTTTTCTATTTGGCTCCGATTGCACATGCTTATCTATACGTTCCCAGACCATCACGATTTCCCAACTACCCTTAAAAAAACGATTCGACGAGTCAAGGTTTTTGACGAAACATGGACCGAATATTATTTTTCAAAATTACATCACCTACGTCAATGTCATATAAGTGGTAAAAACGCTGTTGCGATGATTATTGATGGCACACAGGACCCAACCATATAATCTGGAGCAAAAGTAGGCCGTTATGAAAATCCCGAGCGTTTATACGCCGATTATTTATAAACATTAACCATTGCAAGAGATGATGGACCAAATCGTGACAGAGAAATTTTTAGAAAAATCCCAGATAGCAATAAAAACGAAAATTCCCGCCACCAACGACGAACACCGAAACCAACCAAATGTTGCAAAAGACCTATCTCGCATGATTAGAAAAAGAGAGCTTTATTGTAATAAATACAAGTAAGAAAGCAATAAAAGATGACATGCGCGCGCAACTCGTAGGCTGCAGTGTAGCCAGATTGTATTGTTGCAGAACAAATGTAGATAATACAAATCGAAAATTATAACATTAAAGAAGTGATATAGTGTCAAGTGTTTAACAACGCCTCGAATCAGACAAAAAAAGAGCTTTAAAGTGGATAAATATCGTTTGCACTTTTATTTTGATAAATGTTTCATCCGGCAACATCGCTCAATGAAATTGCAAAGGAATATGTCAAGTATAATCTAATGGCGTTTCCGATTGGTAGATTCAGTGCGCACTGAGTGTATTTGCATCCTTTTAATCGACCTGTAGAAGAAAAAGACAGAAATAGAAAAAATGGCACTAGTTCCGCACTAGATCTACCAATCGGAAACGCCATAACATAACTTTAAACGAAACTGCGGTGAGTTCAAGTAATATGTAAAAGTATTAGTTTGCTCTTTGTCAAATTACACGTTACAAAGAAAGAAGGAACGATTCATTCTGAACTGGCCCCTGAATAAGAATATGACACAAGCCTGTCACAAATTTGCTTCTCATTGGACGCTCACCTGCAGCCTACAAGCGACGCGCGCAGTCCAGGTAATAGGAGATCGGTCTATTATCAGCAAATGGGTCACATGCATAGAGAGCGCACCAAACCACGTATTGAGTGTACTAAATGCCGAAGATTATGTCATGTAGCAATGTTATGCAACACAGAATCCAAATCAGATGCCAAGGATTATCATGTGACGTGTCGTATAAATTGACAGGAGCTGCAAGGTTTTGTCGATTCTGGCTGCGAAGTGGTTATTATTCGTAAAAGTGATGCAATAAAAGCAGGTTTACAATGGAACGACACCGATGTTTGTCTCAATGGGTACGGAGGTAGCACTACAAAGGTCTTAGGAGTAATCCACGCTGATCTGGCTGTAGATCTGTACGAAACTCATGAAGACATATTTGTTGTGCCAGATAAATTACAGAATTCACCCGTTCCCATTGGAATATTTTTACTGAATAAAGACAACGCCATAACTGTAGTCCAAAAAGGTGACGTACGACTATTCAGTTCGGAAATAGCTGCCATCGGAAAAAATTGCATTGGTCGCCAAGATAAGCTCAGAAATTCAGCCAATTCATATGGGTCCGCTGTACGACCAACGAAGGGTACAGTGGCGATATTTTCATTGATTTCAGAAAATCGTTCAAGCCAAACTCTGAATACGTGATTCCAAGATGTGTGATATCATAAAGCGAACCCAATGTTCCTGTATTGAATATATCGAGGCACCCTATTCGCTTTGATGCCAATAAAGTCGTGGCACGTGGTGGTGTATGCCTGAAGTCACTGGGGTAAGTGTTAAAAGAGTTAATAAAGTAAATCTATTGAAGTTTACCAATGCTGATTTGGATGGTCATGTGTCTGATAACGTATCAAATACTGACCGAAATAAACTTTTATTACTTTTAAATAAATTATCGTGACTGTTTTGCGTTTAACGTTAACGAGCTAGGTACGATAAACAATAATTATGAAATGTCAATAGAGTTAACAGATGATAAGCCAGTAACGTACAGGCCTTATCGACTGTCAATTGGAGAGCGAGAAAATGTAAGAAGGATTGTAAACGAGTTGCTAGCTGTTGACATCATTCAAGAATCAAATTCGCCCTATTCCAGTCCAATCGTTCTTGTTAAAAAGAAGAATGGCGAGACTCGCATTTGTGTAGATTACAGGGCCTTAAATAACAAAACAGTAAAAGATTCTTATCCTCTACCACGGGTGGACGATCATCTGGAAATGTTGAATGGTTGCAAGTTTTTCACCAGTCTTGACATGGCATCAAGTGGTTACCATCAGATTAAAATGGCTGAAGTTTCCAGAAGAAAGACATCTTTTGTGACTCCAGATGGTCAATACGAATACTTGAGGATACCATTTGGCCTCGTAAATGCCTTGGCGGTATTTCAACGCACTATTAATCAAATTTTGGGATCAATGAGATTTTCTACCTTGTTGGCTTTTATGGATGACATTTTAGTCCCCTCCACTAGTATCACGTCTGGTCTAGTCGCATTGGGTGATGTTTTAAACATTTTTCGGGAAGCAGGTGTTACTTCACGACTAGAAAAATGTAAATTTTTTCAGAACAAAATTGATTATCTAGGCCAAGAAATCAGTTCTAAAGGTATAAGACCAGGGTTAGAAAAGAACAGGGCAGTGGAATGCTTCCCTACGCCTAAGAATGTGCATCAAATACGTCAATTTATAGGTCTTTGCAGTTATATCCGCAAATACGTTAGCACGACCACTCACATCTCTCGCAAAAAAAGATGTTCCATACGAACGGGAGCAGGCACAGAACGACGGTTTCATTTCTTTGAAGAAAATATTGGTTGAGAGACCCGTCCTAGCAATCTACAATCCATCCCTCGAAACAGAATTGCATACAGATGTAACAGATGCATCAATACTTGGTCTCGGAGGGATTTTGCTTCAAAAGCAAAGTGTCAAAAATTTGAAGCCAGTTATGTATTTCAGTCGACAGACAACGAAAGAAGAACAAAAGTATCATTCCTATGAAATAGAGACGCTCGCTATTGTCAATTCTTTACGAAGATTTCGAGTATACTTCGAATTCTATTGAAACATACAAGTTTGGTCGTGCATGACTTACCTTCTTTCTTGATTCGTATAACGGTAATACCCTTTGTTGTGATCAACTCTTCCTGTGTGCCAATCGAATGGGCTAACGTGAAGTTTCAAATGAATTTTATCGTGTACAAATTCAAAGTGAACTCCTAAAATTTATACTATATATTAGGATAAATTCTTAGACCCATTTTCACAATTGGTGATAACTCATAGTTGCAAGTTGACTACATTGAATATTCTGAAGCTTGACCTTGACCAATGGTTTTGGCTAAACCTTACATTATGAAACAGATATATTGTAGGTTGACAGTGTTTTGTAGTTACCGTTGGGTTACCACTGTTTGTGAAACTGGCCCTAACTCATTCATAAACTTGATTTTGTTATTACCTGTTACAATATGGTTCTCATCACCTTGAATATTGTCCAAAGCCATTGATCTCCGTCCATATCTCATTGTGAACACATCAGCGTCATCAAATTTATGATTATCGACATCTACCCAGTGCACAGTGGATTGGTTGATGTATCCGTAAGGCAATAGTTTGCCTTCCTGAATTTGTAGATGCAATATTCTGTTCTTTTTAATTAGTCTAACCCCAGTAACTACGCTAAAAAATAAACAAAATTCAGGCGTTCACTGAGTGAGTTTATTGTTTAAATGAAATTTATACCTATTATTCTTTATATCAGCCAGGACTGGTCCCACAAAGATATATCTATCCGATAAATGCCCCTCTTCGTCGCACAAGCACATGCAATAATCGCAGTCAACGAACCCTCTTAACCACCATTTAAAGGGTATATTGTTCGGACATGACCTTCCTTTAGCATCACCAAACGTTTTGCCACTTTTGTACCGTATGAAATCGTAACGTCTACTACCACGCGGCTAGAAAAAAAAATTGTTGGGACTGTTCTAATGCTACTTGACACTTGCAAGACGTCTTTTGGTTTTTGACTTTCGCATTGCCCAACTTTAATGAAAGTTACTTGATTAAATTGTCTACCCAGATAGAGGGTAGGGTGTCCGTTTTTCGAGGCAATTATTGGGATCTCGGAACCGGTAAGAGATATACCTACATAATAAAATCAAGGTACCATAAGAATAGTCACAACAAAGTTGTGTATTCTTTAGTAACATTTTGACTTTGCAAAATCTTTAAAATAAAAAAATACTAACTATTTCAAGGCTCTAGTGGTGCCGCGAGACGAGACTTAGGGTTGGACTCGTCTCGTCTCGACATCTCAAGACGAGACCGTGACTTAGTCTCGGTCTCGAGTACCAAAGTCTCGTCTCGTCTCGAGTGGTCTCGTCTGGTCTCGAGTTATACAGGGTGTCCAAAAAATCGCGTAAAAACTCTTCTCTACGTGGTAAAGTACCCTACAAGGAACCCCAGGAAAATATTTGAAAACATCTAGTGGCATTCTTTAGAAAGTTATTTGCATTTTAATATTTATTAAAATTGACAACACTGAAAATATCCCGTTGACAATATGTCAGAGAATTAAAATAAATACCCATGTAATTACCTGAAGAATTCAAAGGTGAATTTTCACATCTTCCTCTTCATATTACCAAGAATAATGCTGGAGAAGGATTTTTTTCATTTAATTATTTTTCTAGGGTTTCTCAAAGGGTCCCCTTCTACTTGGAGAGTTTTTACGCTATTTTTCGGACACCCTGTATTTATGGTTTTTATTTTTATATTATAATGGAAGTCCAAACTGCCACAGTGAAAAAGCAATTAGTGAAAAATCACAGTAAAAAGTAACGGTGATATTTAATTTACTGATCTCATATTCAAATAGCCCAGAATAGTCCAATAATAAAGCTATGAAAAAAAAACTTAAGTGCAATCTCGAGACTCGAGACTACACGAAACTCTCGCCTAGTCACTCCATGCAAATGTATCAGAATACGTTCAAAATCTATGCCGGTTTCGGTTCGAATCGAGAATTCGTAATCCGCCCCCTGGTCTCGTCTCGTCAAGACTTCACGAGACGAGACCAAAAGCCAGTCTCGTCTCGAAAAGTCGAGACGAGACGAGACGAGACCAGTCTCGAGTCTCGCGGCATCACTACAAGGCTCAATGTGAGATAAGTGGACTGTATCAAATCTTTTATAATGCAAATTAAAAGGCGAGGTTTTGAGACCTTACCTTGAACTTCTGACAATGAAGGCTTCCATTTAGGGGTGTCCACGGACACCTTTTTCACACACGCACGTTTTCCCGGACTGGCCAGTCGACGCGTTTGTTCTGTTCTGTTCCAAAACCGTGAAACTCGGCAAATTAAACAATTACTTGCGGGTTCTCTATAATTTTAGGCGGTAAAATATTTAAAAAAATGCGGGTTCTTTATTAAAAGTTTCTAGGGGAAAACAATGTCGTTTGGTTGACGGTCGTTCTGCTTCTCTCCGAAGTCGTTTTTTATCCTTTCTGGCCGCACACTCGCGATATTCTCTTAAAGGCCTCAAAACTATTAAACTTGAATTTATGAGTAACGTTACACAGTGAGCCAAGAAAAGAAGAGAGTTAAATGCGATTAATTAAACATATTATTCCAAATGACAAAAGAACAAAAGTGACGAAACAAGAGACTTAAAATTTCTTTTACCAATGTCGTATCTACCTTGAGTGTAAATTGAGCCAAGCTGCACTATTGAGATGTTACACTATGCATGTTGGAACCTTAGAGCCAGGTAAAGCGCTGTCCTACGGACATAGGGAGTAGGAACGCGCGATTTCCATTTGTCAATCAGTGCGCACTGAGTGTATCCGCATCTTTTTTTAATAGAGGCATGTAACATGTAAGGATAAGGATACAATTTTTTTTGCACTGGTTCGACAAATGGAAACCGCTATAAAAGTGAAGCCATGTTTTTGGTAAGTGTTTACCTGCTCTAAGGTTGGAACACATAATAGTATATTATATAATAAGTGTGGTAACTAGGTTATTACCGCACGCGAGAGAAATTTGCAAACCGAGCCGGTGAGGCGAGGTTTGCAATCTCTAAGGGCGGTAATAACCTAATTACCATACGTATTATATACAGTATTTTATCTACAAGCGTGCGCTAACAAAATATCCGAAAGAAATTTAAAAAATTATACAAAAAAAATTGCATCTGTCACCTTTGACAGCGGACAAGTAGAATTTAGGTGATAGGTAGGTAATTTATCTCTGGTAGGTAATTAAAGGTACGTACCTATGTAGGTAGAGAGTGCGGTAATATTATTACCGCACGCCGTGCGGTAATGTGGTGCTTATCGCACGCCAAATCGTGTAATATACCTAAGTTACCGCACGCTTGTAGATAAAATATTCTTACCGAACCACATATGCTGCCACGAGACTCCTGGTAAAAGCAATCTCTAATGGATCCATGACATCTTTCCTGTGTTTTGCAATAGTCAGTATCATCTTCGTAACAACCATAATTTTTCGTTTGAGAATATTCACCGCAGGTTCTGGTACACGTTCTTTCCGAGCTCATGTCTACCTCGTTCTGGATGTGGCCCTGTAGAAGTCTCGTGAATTGGTCGTAGTTTTCTCCTAAAAAAATTTAAAATTTAAATGCTCATTTGTACAGGGTGGCCCGTTTAGGAGAGGCCTATACCTTATCTCGAAATCTACAAGGACTGTAAAAAAAACTTAAATACAAAAATTGTTTTTTTAATTTATCTACAACTTTTTTGTATTGTTTTTGTTATCACTCTACCATATACAGGGTAGACAAATAAAATTTCATTTTTTCTAATGGAACACCCTATATTTCAATACATTTTAACATAGCCCTTTGCCTTTGAAAGACAAATCCAACGATATACTGGTCATGTGTCTTTGATATACCGTTTCAATTCATCTCGCTAAAGTCAACAAAGGCAACGAAACTACCTACTCAAACTCAGCAAACCAGACTTGAGGCTCATAATGGGTCTCCTCACCGGCCACTGCCCTCATGGCTTCTACCTGAAAAAGATGGGTGAAGCTGAATCAGACCTTTGCCACTTCTGCAAAGAAGCATCCGAATCGACCGAACATATACTCTGCAAATGCGAGGCATTATGTCACAGAAGACTCATTCATCTGGAGCAGACATATTTGACTGCTGCGGGCAGAGAGGTCTATCACCCAAACGCTCCTAACACAATCTAATCTAATCTAATCTTATCTATACCGTTTCGAACTTATTACTTATTAGCGATTATCTTCAGGATTTGGGGGGTAATTTTCAACAGTTTGTAGTATAACATACCCGGGTTCGTTCAGTAACATTGTACGATGAGAATTTTTATTACCTTTAAACAACAAATCTTCTGAAAAACTAAATGAAAAACAAATAGGACCTACGTTGTGGAAACTTACTCAATTTTACTTACTGGACATGCACCCGACATAGCAAATATTTGGGAAAAAGGAGGTACAATTTACATTGAAAATAGGCCCCCGTAAATTTCAACGCAATTCCAATATTTTGAAGGTATCATCATTGCAAGAAAAAATTTGAAATGTAAAGAGGATCGTATGTCTGTGATAGCAGATATAGCTCATCAAAGTACGTAGGTCCTGCTATGCTCTGCATTGGAAATATCCGGAATAATATCCCTACATAGATTTTCTTGAATATCACGAAAAATAATAATCCGATTTTGACCTTTTTGGAGTTAAATACCTACAAAAGGTCCCCAAAAACGTCGAAATCGGATTATTATTTTTCGAGATATCCAAGAAAATCTACATAGGGATATTTCCTCGGATTTTTCGAACGAAAAATTTGTCAAACGTCTACTTTATTATTAAATCGTACCGTTCTCATCCTGGAACTAACGAGGGGAAAGAGCACGGCAGAGAAACCCTCGATCTAACATTCCTCAAAAATCGAAACATACTGTGTCATATTAATAATGATTGTGAGTCAATAATTCAATAATTTAAGTCAATAAAAGTTAAAATTAGGTACCATCCTTTGTCTTTGTGCTAAAATTTCAATTACACACACTACATTCAATCAACACTATCTGTATTCAATACTGAAGAGTTTTTTTTGTTAGTTAGCCAGTTTCCCAGCAGGTACTGAGGTCCCATACGGGAAGCTACTCAGCTATAGTTGTTTTTGAGCTAATATCTCTAGATTGATTATTTCAATTTGCTAGGATATTCTCTCGGCAGGGTAGGAAAATGTTGGTAAATTCAACAAGGCCCTAATGCACGCTCTGAATACACAAAATCGAAATCTCAGCACAAAAAGACAGCACATAATTTCTTGGGTTTTAATTTACTTCTTTATCGGTGTTGTTTACAGCATGAAACGATTTTTGTTAAATACATGAACAATGCACATGTTATAAAAAATGTTATAAACAAAAAAAAAAAAAAGAAATGGACAAAATAATAGGAACTTGCAGAAATTGAACTCTCAAAAACAAAATAACATTTGGTCCACTAACCTGTGAACGCTCCTTACACACTCACTAATAACAAATTGGATTGAACAATCATTTTTAATGCAAAATAGAAATGAAAATTGAATAATGAATAATTACAGACACGCGTCTAAAGGAACAGCCCCAGCTTGTTCTCAAGTGTAGTTGCGTCTTCTCTATCTCCCGTTCGCAGTACCGTTCCTTGTGGTCGAACGCGGTCACCCCTAAATTTGATGGCGCAGACAAGGTTGGAACATTTACTTTTATTTAGTAAACGTTTTTTTAAAAAGTTAAGATTTGAAGAAATAATATTTTAAATAGGTGGTTTTCCTCAAGTCATTGTTACGTTACTCATAAACTTTTAAAACTATAAACGATATACTGGACATGGATCTGCTATGCACCGTTTCGACCTGATTGGCGTTAATTTTCAGTTCTAGCACAATATCTCATGTCATCCCTGTTGAATGAAAAAAAATGTCTAATTTTGTAGTAGATTTGCTGAAATAGTGCTTTTTATGCATTCATGGTGGCATTATTGAACAATAGGGAACTTGCACATTTTTTTTTTATTTCAAAAATGTGTTCTACTACACTAAAGACATAGTCATACCAAATATCGAGCATTAAAAATCAGCCGTTAATTTTTTATGAATATTTGAAGTTACGCTCGAAACATCGCCATTTAAAACGACCAATTCGTGTGACGTCATTCGGCAACAAAATTCCGTTGATAGTGACGAGCACTTCGAACTTCAAGCAGGTAGATTTAGATGATTGTTATGTTGTTATGTATGCCTTTTACGATAGATTTGACAATGGCGATACCAGCAGAACATGACGTGGCGGCGGCGCGACCCGATTATTACTGTCTTGTGACGTCACGACTCATAGAAACACGTTTTCAATCGCATCATGAATTTCGAATTATTTGGTATTTCCAATTGAAGATTTTGGACACCAGAGATAAAATATTACTTTTTTTTCCTAATTGCATCAATTATTAGGATGTTTGTTATTGTGTTTTATTTATTATTCCATTTTTAATTTAATGTGCAAGTTCCCTATTTCTTATACATTAATAAAGCACGTTAATAGTTAGGTCGACAGAAAATACCACAGACCCATTTCCCGTATATCATTGAATTTGTCTTTTAAAGGGCTATCCAAAAACTCGAAAATTTACAGGAGGTCCCATTTGAAAAAATTGAAAAGCGTAACATGAGTAACGTAACAATGACTGTTTAAACCTACCCCAAAGCCTGAAGATAATCGCTAATAAGTTCGAAACGGTATATCACACACCAGTAGTATATCGTTGGATTTGTCTTCCAGAGGGCTATATAAAAATGTATTGAAATATAGGGTGTTCCATTAAAAAAAATTAAACTTTATTTGTCCACCCTGTATATAGTAGAGTGACAACAAAAACAATACAATAAAGTTGTATTGTATTGAATGTATTGTAAGTATTTTAAACTCAAAATACTGTTTTTAAAAATCAATTTTATTTCGAACATTACAATAGAGTGCTCTAGCCGAAAGCTTGGTTAAATGAAAAATAATGTTTGAAAGCATGAATACAAATATTTATTTTTCTACTGACGTTTCATAATAGCAACTTTTCGATTGTCATTTTAGTTTTGAAATGACATTCTTTTAAGCACTGAGTGCGTAAAAGTTACTTTTAGGCACTCAGTGCGTGAAAGTGACTTTTCAATGCGTAAAAGTGACTTTTGAGTGCGTAAAAGTGATTTTTAAGCACTAGTGCCTAAAAGTGCCATTCATTATTCAGAAATAAAAAATACACTAAACTAAACACAGATTTGAATTTTGTTTTATATTTATTATGAATATTAAAAATTAATTATTGAATTGAACGTTATTGGGTTACTCAAAACAGAACTTTGTGTTGTTACCTACTTTCTGGGATTTTAATTATTGATGTCCAATCCAAAAAATCGCATGAAAAGTGTCAGGTGCCAAGCTAAAGCAGGTAATAAAGATTTTGGGCGTAATCGGCTTATTCACATGAAATAAAATTATGTTTTTTTATTATAAAATGCCAGTAGAAAAAATATTGTATACAATACGTCACGAAACGATGTCTTTTAGTCACTACACGTGTTGTCCAACTCGGCTTTGCCTCGTTGGACAATTTTCACGTCGCGTGCCTAAAAGACGCTCATTTCGTAACTTATTGTATAAATAGCTATTATAAGCTCTGGTTTGCTGAGTCTGCTTCTCGGTAGGTAATTAAAACCAACTCTGCAACTTTGTTCACATAACTCCTCCCGCCGAAGTCGAAAACAATACGGATTGAGGTTTGTTTTCGGATTTCTGGATGATTCTTT